CACTTAAATGCAACGACTACTGAAAACAAAATTCAATTGCAAGAAAATGAAATGCCCGAAAAAAAACAGTAACATTTCATGATTTAATTACAAGTGAATTTTAAGATGCAAAAAGACATATAAAAAGGGCATAAGAACAAACCGCATTGCAGGAACTAAGAATTTCAAGACGAAAACTCTGAAACTAAATTAAGATTCGAGGAAAATATATATTCATGCACACTGTAAAAAGGGTTAACAAGACACAAAGAAAATTTTTACAGAACATTTTAAAACACAGTTCAACTCACTAATAGCGAGCGATCTGATGTTTTTGTACGACAGATGTACAGCTGTTCACTGTACGAAAAAAGTCTCAAAAGTGTCCCCCAAACTTCTCACTCCATTGCCCCATATCACCCCCCTTCCCTTCCTTCGCCCCCGCATTGCCCCTTTTCGTTCCATCGCCCCCCTGAAAAACGAAATCTCCCCCTGGGGGGCGATATTGCCCAGGTTAATAACCACTGATCTAGACTAGGTAACACCATCAGTCTAGCAGTCTACTTAGTTTGTGTAATGAAACGTCTACAAGAAAACAATCAAGCTCAGAAAACACCAAATACTCATCAGTTCAGAATCTTGTTTATAATTTGAAAGAGATTGTAAACTCTACAAGCTTTAATTCTCTTAGTTTCCAAATAATCATGTTCTAGTTAAATTCAGTTCTATGAGCCCTTTGTCTGTGGAACTTTCATAGAATGTCTTTTTTTCACTCAGAGAACATGCTCAGAGCTTTGAGAATTTATAATGAGCAAAAATAAGTCCATAGTATACACAGTAGAGATACATGTGTATGAAATATGACTTCTACAAAACACATGATGTTGGAAGCTATGTTATATTTTGTGTACCTTTATATAAACCAGGACATTTTACTTTACTTTTATATATTTATTTTTATGGCCTTACACACTTAGAATGTAATATAGAATCAGTCAGGACAATACAATAAATACGTTTTTGGTAAGATATATTTGATATGTAGGTGGATAGTCTGCTAGCTGTGTTCATTTAAAATAATTTGCTTAATATAGTTTAAAATGCTATTGTTTACCTAAACTATCTCTCCTCATATATTCACATATATTTGTACAGACCACTAATACTTCTATTGAAATCATTTTTACTTTTTATTTTTTCTATAAAACAGAAAAGCTGTAAAATAGCTTCTATTGTTTTAAGTGGAAAAATGAATACTGGCATCTACAAAATTAAAAATACAGACAGAATTATTGTAGCTCTCAATTTCCCCTTCAAAAATGGCACATAAATATACCTTGATACTTTTAGTTATTATCATACAAGTTTCTCTTCCTTATAGTTCTGTGCTTTATCATGTAATTTTTCCTTTCCTTTCTGAATGTCAAAATATTGATATTCTTTCAAAAACTTTCTTTTTTTACACAGAATATTTTCTGGAGAGAATCAAAGAGAATGAATGACTAGAAAGATATTTCAAATATGCATACAGAGAAAGTTCTGTTGATTTCTTTTTTAAAGTAGAATGCATTTTTCTTTTTCTTCATTTTAATCAAACTAAAGTTCTTTTACCAGGAAAAACTCAGGTATCCTGTTAAGACATTTTATGGAAAGATTCCCGTTTCGGTAGGGCAAGTTTAAGACTCTTGGATCGTAAATGGGAGAATAGATAAATAGAGGGGATGCAAAATGAGATTGCATTGATGTGATTTTGAGTGTGCATAGGGAATCCAAACTCTCTGAGGAATAAGCAACAAAAGTAAGTTGGGACACTTGATCAAACAGGGTTGCATGTCAGTTGCTCTGGGCTTTCTTATTAGAAAACCTCCTGCTCCCAGATTGTCAAAGACTCATCCATGCCAGGCTAATAAAATCACCTGGTCAGTCAAACTGGAAGTAATGTAAATGCAATTTATCCTGGACAATGCTAGCATTTATTGATTGGCAAGGTGTTTAGTATTAGATTGCCCCATTGTAGAAAAAACAAATAGAGTTTTAAAGTGACGAATTCTTGGCTGAATTCTTGCAGAAGTATAGAAATAGGCAGAGAAAGAGAAAACCAAGGCTGTTCCTAATATATTGGGAATTTATCACCCATTCCCCTTTCTTTTTTTCTTTTTGAAACAGATAAGGGATAATTATCTTCCTTTCTTCATGGAAGATATAAAAAAGGCTTCAGTGGTCCTGAAAGGATGCAGTGTACCCCCGAAAAATAAAAAGACTCTCTGGAGAACTGGTGGAGAGAGAATAGAGGTAGTACTTTTAAAGCCATTGGGTTGTAATCATTGCTTTGCTGGTCAATAATCTGATTTGTACTTTGAAATGGAATATGCGTATAACAATGCAGGGTTTCTGCTTCGGCTGAGGAGAGCAGAAACCATGGGATACTACCTGTGTGAACCACAAATTTTGGCAGACTTGGTGAAACTGTGATTAGATATGAGTGCTGAAAAAGAGCACTCTTTTTCAGCCAGCAGTTGCTTTTCTTGGAACATGCACAGATTCAGGTAACCCTTGTCAGGATGAGCTATGAGCAACTCTGCATGATGCCTCATGCCCTGTTCTACCATTGAGGCCGCATACTTACAGACTAGGTGCTGTTGTGGCCAGTGCAAAAGGATGGGTTCCTGAAGTTCAGCTTAAGGCACAGATACAGCATGTTGCTAGATGCTGGAAGGCCAGGCTGTGTGACACCTATTGTTCATTATAATGATACTAGTTTCCACTAAATGTTCATATTAAACTAGAAGTAAAGTTAGTTCTAGGTTACCGGAAGGGCAACCTTGTTCAGACCACATTCTCCACTCTTAAAATTAGCATGATGGTCCAACTTTGTATTCACATATGAGACCAATTAAGAAGTTGTTCTTTCCTTGTACTATCTAATTGCTTTGACTTTGATGTAATCCAACAAAACCCTTCTTATATCTAGTAGGTGGAAAGAGAGAAAGAATGAACAAATACATCAGTTTGGTGTAGTGGTTAAGGTGCTAGGCTAGAAACCAGAAAACTGTGAGTTCTAATCTTGCCTTATACATGAAAGCTGACTGAGGACTTTGGGCCAGTCACTATCCCTTAACCCAACACATCTCACAGGGTTGTTGTTGTTGTGGAAAAGTAGAAGGCAAAAGGATTGGCTATGTTTGCCATCTTGAGTTATATATAGAAAAAGGTGGGATGATGATGATAAAAATATTTGTTTACTAATCTACCAATGTCCTACAAATTGATTATGGAGCACTTATTAATAAACAGTATAATAAATGTTGAGCAAATGATTCTGGTGTTCTGGAAGTTAAGTGTGTTCTTGATTTTTTAACAGCAACATCAAGCTGCTTAGGATTTTTTGTGCATATGAAAACTTAACTGTTTTCTTTCCAGTATCTAAGACAAGGGTCTTCAAACTTGGCAAGTTTAAGACTTGTGGACTTCAACTCCCAGAATTCCTGAGCTAACATGACTGGAGGAGGAATTATTGTCAAGTTTGAAGATCCCTGATCTAAGATGTCCAATCCAATATTAGCCCACCATACAACAGAAAGAAGAGCAATCAGCACTGTTTTGCTATGTAATATATGAGATTTAACAAATATACCCTGTAATCAAGACCAAAAACTGATATTTCATGTCTGTGATGATGTGACATTCAAACACAATGCTATGCTCAGAATTGAGAAGTACCACAAGGGCATAAGAAAACCCTACTGTGTTTTTGCATGAAAGCAATATGTAACAGTCAGTTACAAAAAGTGAGAAAATATAATGTTGCCATATGATTGTTGAGTTTTTGCCCTCTGGTATAAGGAAACCCTGGTTGACATCAACCTATATATTGATTATTGTTTTTAGTGATGCAGTTTTACCATATATATTTTCAGCACTCAAATTTTATGCTTTTCAAGGAAGAAATACTGTCATCTCTTTTTCTTCGTAGTCTTTTTTTAAAAAAATCCCATAGAGGTTTACCTCAAATTCCTAGGCAAAATAATAGTACTATTTCTGTCATCTAATATTCCTTTTTTGAAATACTTGTCTTTGAAATCCTCTTGCATAAAATTCATGCTTGTATTTCTCAAGGGTGCCTCTGCAAATTCAGATCTCTAGGACTAGGATGTTGATTGTGCTACTGGTTATTTTTTTTCCACTGAATTAGTAGCAAATTTTAATAGAAAGTCCTCTCCAAGTCCTGAACTTTAGTATTTCTGAAATGCAAGTCATTTAGAAAAAGTCAATTATTCTTTGTTGCTTGGCATCGATTTCTGAAATTTCAATTTTAATCCTGTCTAAATTGCAATAATACTTCCCTATCCTGCACTCATTTGAACTGAATGGGTTGTTGGAAACTACCCTTTCATTATCTAGCAATAGTTATTTATTTTTTCCTTTTAGCAGAATTTTAAAATTCAGAGGGATGAATCCAATGTTACAGGAATGTCTGCTAGGAGAGGGGCAAAGAAGTCAAGATAATGAATGCCAACATGTAATCAAAGCTCCACCTTTAATAGTATGTGTCATGATCCCTCCTATAAAGATGTCTTCCAAAAATAAGGGCATTTTTTCCTCCACAGAAGGGTTCCTAACAATTCAAGAATTTAGATGAGACTATTAGCAATAGCACCTAGACTTACATACCACTTTATAGTACTTTACCTCTCTACATACCTAGTACCTCTCTAAGCAGTTTACAGAGTCAACATATTGCCCCCATAAATTTGCGTCCTCATTATACCGACCTTGGAAGGATGGAAGGCTGAGTCAACCTTGAGCCAGTGGGACTTGAACTGCCAAACTGCAGTCAGCTAGCAGTCAGCAGAAGTAGCCTGCAGTACTGCAGTTAGACAATAAGAAAGTAGTACAAAATACTTAACTTTATAATTTGACAAGATGCATGCTGAATCAGAGATCAAGAAATCACTGGAAATTAAACATATTGAACACATTTTTTTAAAAAAAAGCTGAATTTTGTCCTTTTTCTTTGGCAGGAAAGAACACGCTTTGAGAATTTAGGCCCACAGCTATCAGGGAAACCCAGTGAAGATGGAAAGCTAGGTCCAGGAGTTATTGATCTTACAAGGCCAGAAGATGCAGAGGGTGAGTTATTGAAACAAATGGATTGAACTGATGAGCACTGTTTTCTTTCATCACTTTAAGGTTGAATATCTTAAATATTACTGTAGCTAATCCCCTCTGTCTATATTTGAAGCATAGTTTCCTGTGTTGTGTGCAAGCCTAAAGTCTGATTTTAAAAAGTTATCACACAAAATGCACTTTCTGATTATTACTAGGAGGCTACTGCAACTGTTCTTACCAAGCTATCCTAGGTTCAATTCATATGTTATCTGTGCTGATCCATATCGACTTAAAATTGCTGTTGAGTAGAGTGATATAATCAGATTTTATAAGCAAATAAAATACATGACTATGAGTTTCTTTTTTCTTATTGTGCTCTAGTGGATGAATATTTACTGTGAGAAGGTCCTTTTGTTTAAGATACGGGGAATATAATCATCTGTCGCCGCCAGATGTTTTGGGAGATTGTCTTCATCTATTGTTCTACATGTGAATAACTGTAAAGAAATAATAATATTGAGTTGAATGATATAGCTAGAGACTACAAAAGATCACTTTGCTGTGGAAGTCAACGTTTCATAGAATTCCAAGGTTGGAAGGGCCCTTTGAGATAATTGAATTCAACTCCCTACTTTGGGCAGAAGTCCAGACTGAAGCATCCCTGATAAACCCCAATTTCACTTCAGTACATTTGGTAAAAGGAACCAATCATTTTCTGTGTAATTGGTTCAACTGCTACAATGCTCTTAATTTAGAGTAGTACATTAGTAAGTATTAGTGAGGTCATCTGAATAGATATCACTGCACTTTTTAACATACATTTTAATTACAGTAATGAAGAAAAGAAAATTACGAGGTAAATTATTCAATCCATTAATTGACCGCAAAATTAATTACAATGAAGTTTTAATCTTCAGATGAAATATAAGAATGTTGATAACTAATTGATTAGATGTACATAACTTTTTTGTGAAAATGTTACTTTCACTGGTTTATAGCTCCAGTTCTGGATATATGAATAGAAACCTTCCCATTGATTTCAGTAATTAAAGACTCTGCACCATAGCGTATATTTAAATTAGCTATTTGATTGATCAGTTAAAGACATTGCCATTAATCAACTAAAAGCCTTTAGTTGGTTGACAGCTCTATTGGAAATACTGTTTATAAATGACCATGTCAATCATATTTTAGGATAAATTTCTATGTCAGTAGAAGTACTTAATTTTGATTTCTTAAACTCTTACTGTTATTGAAGTTTACAGAATAATAAGAAAATAATACAGAGAACAATAATGAAATTCTCTCACCTCATCCTTTTATTTTGTTTTGACATGGCAAAATATTATTAAGGAGGAAAAAGATTTAAACTTACTGATAAAGTAAAACATAAATTGGGGTTTCTCTTGATTTATTATTTTCTTTTCTCTCATCCTTCACTTATAACATATGAAAAGGTAGGAAGATTATGTTCTCACCATTACTATTGAGAGTATGGACATTCCATTTCACTGGAGGACATTCTTTATAGTGTATCTTCTTCAAATACAGCAGAAGCTGTATAGAAATACAGTTCAATTGCTATGGGTCAGCTTCTCTGTGGAGACAGGCAGAAACCATATTGTTATTCATTTTGGCAAGTCTTGGATCAGTCCAACACAACATCCTATATCTAGAAATTTAAATAGTTTCAATTCACACCAGCTTAAGAAAGAATCCCTTTGCTTTTGAAGGTGGGATAAAATTTGCATCCTATTGCTTTTTTCTGAATTCATAAATAGTTCTGGATAAAAGGTTATTTGTAAAAATAAATAGCAAATTTCTTCGTAAAAAATATGAAGATATACTGAGCTTTGAGAAGAGAGCCAGTTTGATCTAGTGGTTAAGGCACCAGACTAGAAAGCAAGAGACTCTGAGTTCAAGTCCCATCTTAGCCATGAAAGCCAGTTGGGTGACCTTGAGCCAATCACTCTGTCTCAGGCCAACTAATCTCACAGAGTTATTGTGGGGAAAATAGGAGGAAAGTGTGTTGGATATGTTCACCACTTTGAATTATTTGTTAAAATAATAAAAGTGGTATACAAATAAAAAGTAAAAAATAAACCCCTTCCCCCAAACTTTGAGATGTTGTAGGTAGCTGTCTAGGAAAGAAAAATAGGTATTAAAGTGCATATAAAACATAAAATTATCAGAAAGATCATATCACTCAATGTTTTGTTTAATATTATTATGTAGCTATCTCGGAAGACATCTTATGCACAGACACAGTTTATTCAGAATATTACTAATTGTGCTAACAAGTACATTGTGTAACATATGAAGGTATTTTAGGTACTTACTAGAGTATTATTTTGGAAGCACCCAGATGATGAAGAATTCCACTCAGTCCAATGAATTCAGTTACCTCCATGGCTACCATGGCATTGAATGCATAAATGTATTTTTATTGTGTCCAGTTGGATTCACATCTGTGTCAGAACTGAGAAGTCTATTTGCTTTTACAATGCCATGGGCCATTTGAGGGTCTTGACATGGGAGAGAAGAACTTAGGCTCTACTCTATCATGGCTTCGTTATTATAGATCTCTGATATGTTCACTGATATGTCTGTCCAAATTAAGAAAACTTCTGTCAGAGCTGTCTGGAGTCTAACTGGATCCTTTGGATCTGGGCTTCTAAATCTTTTCTTTTATAGTGATACATATATCTGAAAAACTGTATGCTAAAATGCAATCTAAGATAGCTGAATGAGTTTCACAAAAACATACAGAAGATTTAAATGATCCCCATTAATGCAATATATATTACATACTCCTTTATTAGATGGCTTGCTCTATTTTACATCATATGTCTCTTGCTAACAAACTCTTAACATAAGAAAGAAGACCAAAGTAGAATTTTGATCAACAACTTTTATTTTCCAGCAAAAATGTATGTATGTATTTATTTATTTATTAAATTTTTATGCCACCTATCACACTGTCAGGGGATTCCGGACAGACTACAACATCATAAAAGCAAAAGGAACAAGAACAAGAATAAAATAGGGTGAAGGTGGGATCTTCTTCCTAATGCATGAATTATCTCCAGCATGAAATGTCCCCATCAGAGTGCCAGACCAATCAGCAGAGCCAGATTTTGAGGCTCTTTGGATAGGCCAAAAAGGGTGGATGTGCATCTGTCTGTTCCAAAGGGCAGGAGCCATGGCAGAAAAGGACCTTTCCCTGGACCCCAACAGCCAGAATGTCTTGACCGATGGAGTCTGAAGGATCCCCATTTCTACTGGAATGAGAGGAGTGGAACAATCTCATTGGAATGAGATGGTTCCTTAGGTAGCTTGGACCCATGTCATACAGAGCGTCGTTACATGGGACATCCTAGGAGACCCTAGAACAGTTTGCATGGCTACATTCTGCACTAGTTGTGGCTTTTGTATGGTCTTCAAGGGTAGCCCCATAAAGAGCACGTCACAGTAGTCCAATTGTGAGATGATGAGGGCATGTGTGACTGAATGCAAATTGATTAGATTTTTTTTGGGGGGGTAGATCTTTTAAAAAGCAAAATCTCTCTGGAATGGACATGGACATTCCATGAAGTTTTCTCAACACTATAGATGTTTATATATTCAAATTCTTGGATGGAGCCCCATAAACATATCCAGTTGTCTATAGCAATGCATGTAATTATTTCCACAACAGCTGGAATTTTGATTCTAAAGTCTTGTAATTCATATGAAAGTTTTGCACGTATAAAAAGCTCCCTGCTGTAGATGTTTTGTTCTTAGCCTAGAGATCACCTCTTCAGGTAAGTTATCAGTGCCTCACTGCTTCTCCAGTGTTGGATTGAACAAGTGAAGGCAATACCTAAACAGAGATCTGAAACTCTTGCTTCTGATTTTTCTATACAATCTTCTATTCGCCTTTGAAGGGGGAAAGCCAAATATTTTTCCTTGCTGGCTTCTCATTTGTACCATTTGTATCACACTGTAATCTAATAACAATTATGGGGAGTGTGTGCTGACTTTTATTGTACAGATTCTTAGACCAAGGTTTTTTTTTAAAAAAAGAAGGTACTTCCAATTTCATATATATACTAGGAGATAAATCTATATTCTTTTCATGAATCTTATTTTTGTGGCAATAAAATGCTTTTATTGGCAGGACAGCTAAACCAATTTAGAAGCTCTTTTCCAGTTGCCATGCACTCTTCACTATTCCCATCAGATTCTGCTGACGTACTCAGAGCATTATTTAGTTTTTTTCAGGTCTGTTGCCCAGCAGGAAGAAAAAATATTTTATTTTCCATTTGAAAATATTAGTTACTTAAAGTCCCCTATATATCAAAACTTTACAATGAAAAAAAGAAAAGAAATGCCACATGGTCATATGGCCAGAAAGCTGGTATCATTTAACATTGGTTCATTGTGAGGAACGGGAAAAGAACCAGTTCAAGTTAAGTTCCATTTCCTGCTCAGTTTATGAGTAAACTTGAATTTGCAGGCGTAACAATGAAAAGTGTCATACTCAAGTAACAAAAGGCACAGTTGCAGTCAGAATGTGAACAGCCTTCAACTTGTAAAAGAAAAACAAAAGCATTTCCCCTTGAAAAGCAAAAAAGGTTTCTGAAAAGTCTATCAGAAAAAAAAAGAAAAGAAAAGAGGGGGGAAAGTGTGTGAAAGAATCTCTGAGTTCTATGCAAACCAATCAATTGTGGCAGCCCATCAGAAAAAGCCAAAATTGTGAGGTAAATAGTTTAACGCCCTCCTTTGATGAGCGGTAAGCAGCAGAAAGTACATGGATGACAAAGCAAACCCCCTCCCCACTTCTGTGACAGTGTTTCATAAAATACAGAGGAAAGAATGTCTCTTGTAACCAGTGTCTGTCACAGATAAATATTTAGGAGAGTTGCTATGACAGTTAGAAGAGCGAACAAGAGAGCGAGGGGAGGAAAGGTATCATGAGACAGAAAAAGACAAAGACATTTTTCTAGAAAGAATGCTGACAAACCAGCCCATGGTGACTT